TGAGTGTGTGTGTGTGTGTGTGTGTGTGTGTGTGTGTGAGTGTGTAAAAACTGTAGAGAAATCAAGTAGGCCTACTATTACACCTGTTCAACTATTATAACAGCTTTTACCACCAATTCATTAAATCATAAAAGTAATTTACCAGGTCTGGTGGGGCATTAATAAAATAATAATATATTATAGAGAATGTAAAACGCATAGAGCTTATTGTTGAGCAGGAATGTGCGTTATGCAGATGTTATTTATTATTTATTAGTATCGTTTGGTTAGTTTTCGGCTCTTTTACTGCATTAGGTCATATGGTCGCTTTTATTTTTAAGGACAAGCAGGCTAATCCAAATTGCGGAGGTTTCCAGAATTCTTGACCTACACCAAAAGTGGGCATTGCCCAACCTATAGGAGAAGTTTAGTTTCATTGATGTTTATATTTGTTAGGTAGGTTATAAAGAAAACCCTCCTCTCTTTTAAAGAAACTGAACAAGGGGCAAAACCTTTAACTTCGATTATCTCAAAACCGCATTTTACGGGATAGCCCCCTAGTGCACCCTATCCGCTCGTCGTGTTTTACTATCGTATCTATACACGACGTGGGGAACTTTGTGTCACCACTTTCCAAAGAGGAAATTTACTCGTTAATCCGATCCGTACTCTTTGCATAGCAGTCTGTCAAAATAATTTTCTGAGAAATACTGAAAGTTTCAAAGAGATCTTTGTACTAGAAGTATTCTAAAATGTGAAGAATACAACCCCGGGGGTACAAAATGACCCCAGGGCGTAGGGAATATGGTTAAAAGCCACCATGTGTAATGAGCGCGGGAAGTTGTGTAGTACTCAGTCTCTCCTTCTGTTCCCAGGACGACGATATAGAAACACAAGGTAGTCCCCCTCCTCCCAAGCCACGTGGTCCCCGTCGCCGCCAACAGCGTAGGGTAAGTTTTAAACAGCAAATTTGTAGGGATATATGTTGTTTAAAAAAAAAAAAGATTTTTTTTTTACCAGTCTTCACCGGCTTTACTTTATTCTATATATTTAAAATGTAGATTAAAAACATTTTTTCTCTTTTTTTAAAGGAGGGGGGTGATTTTTTAAAATAGAAACAGAGCGGGTTACCTAGAGAGTATTATTGTGAGTGCACGAACACACACATACATACATACACACACTCTCACACACACATACACACACACACACTCACACAAACACACGCGCGCGAGCACGAGCGCAAAAAACACGCAACATAAAACGGACATCATATCATTGCAACTACGTTATTGCATGTACGATTTTTTCTTTTGAAAACAGCGCCATTATTCCACCCCCCTCCCTACCCCCTACCT